CACCCATCCGAGCACTTTCTATGGAAGTAGCGGTAGAACAGTGAGATACTTGCCACATCCCACCTGTGAAAGTGTTATAGTAGAACACACCTATTCTATTGTTAATAGACTCACCCACCTATAATAAGTAGGAGTAGTAGAAGTCGCTCAGGGAGTTGGTCAGTCAGTCGACTGGCTGATCGGTTGAACTCTCTGCCTTCGGGCGGGGATGAACCCGAAGGAGGCTACGCCGAAGGGCGGATTCTCTTTCGGGGAGGTAAACCGACCCTGAACCCGTTTATACGGGTTCAATGGGCATATTTTTGGCCGAGCCCACGGGCTCGGAGATCCCACGTTAAACCGGTCTCGTACCACATGAAGCCCTCGTGGGGGTGGGGGGTGACTAAATACCGTCGGTCAGTCAGTCGATGCCGGACGACCGTTAGTCGGATACTAAAGTATCAGCGACCCCAACTAGATTTCTCTGCGTCATTACCTATTATATCAAGTACCTAACGTTTTGTACGTCGAACCTATTTTAGGACCGACTTAGTACAAATACAAGCCTCCACTGTGAAACCACTCTACAACAGAAAGAGAGCTTGAACGGTGGGAAATAATTTTCCACAAGGACTCTGGCACGTTTCTGCATTCTGAGGCTGGAAAGTGAGGACTGGGCAGCTCCCGCCCAAATATATATGAAAAAAAGAACTCCATTTTAAGAAATCACATAGTGTGAGCATATTTTGTTTTGGCTTCCGTAGAGGGGGATCAATTTGCAGTGAATTTACTGGATCTCCCCAACGCATTAAATTTTATAAAATCTAATATTTTTTTCGTGATTTGGAGTGCTTAATATATAGTAATAGTTTCAAAAAATGATTTCTGGTCGCAATGTCTATTGTACAACTCCACCTATGTTTTTCTTATTCTATGTATAACGTCCCTTGAAGACGTAGGTGATCATGTCTCTCCACAACTTTCTATCTGGTGTGGCTCTTACAATTTTTTTCTCCCTTTGCTAACCCTCATTCCCAGTTCGGACATCAATTCACACAAACTCGTCAAGTAAGTTGCTCGCTGCCTTCCTTATATCTCTTTGTGCTCGATATGCCCTGTGAGCGTTAAGTTTTCCAAGCCCTCTTTCCCCATTATGCGTCCAAGCTATTTCATCTGTCTTTTCCTGATTTTGATTATAAGTGTTATTTCTGTTGACATTTTTCCCCAAGACTTTCTTGTTGCTTATTCGCTCCGTCCATGCAATTCTCAGTATCCTTCCGTAGAAACACATTTCTGCTGCCGCCAGTTTTCTCCTCATCCGTGGTAGGGATAGTCCAGCATTCACCGCCATAAATTTGTACATAGCAATCCAGTATTCTTCTTTGTTTCCATTGAAAAAATTCCATTTTTCAGCTTTTGAAATGCCTCTTTCGCTAATCCAATGCGTGTTTGGGTCTTAGTGACGTATTTGCTATCCTCTGTTAAAACGCTTCCCAGATATTTGAAATTCTGTACCTGGTTGATTTTTATAGCCCCAATTCTTAACTTGCATATTGAGATTTTTTTCTCTTGCTGATGGCCATAGTCGCATTATTAGTTTGATTATGTAACTCATTAAACTGGTTGTCCAATGGAGCTCGCAATCATTTGCACTTGGTCTCTTACGTAATTTTGATCTTGTCGATACCGAAGTCGTCTAAGGCTGAGAGCATTTCAGTTACGATCCCGTCAGGCCCTGATGTTTTGTTCCTGTTCATCTTCTTTGGCTGATGACCATATTTTCTGTTTTCTTGCAGTTGGTAGTTAGTCCTTTTTTCTCGCTTTCTTCTAACGCCCTCTTCACGAAGTCATGTAATTTTTTTTCCGTCAACACAGTGTCATCTGCGTGTCTTAAATTGCTCGCCGATAATAAATCCTGGTAGGGTCTCCCATTCCTTTAGGTTAGCCTCGCTGTAGCGGGTCGAATAAACATGAGTAGAAGACGCATACTGATTTCACGCCCGTTTCTATTTTTGTATAACCACTCGATTTATTTTCTTATCGGTATGCAGGCGGTCTGGGTTATTCTAGCATCCTTTCCGAGTAGATCGAGTTTTTCTAGCAGTTCAAATAGATTCTTGTGACGTACTTTGCCAAATGCTTTTGCGTAATCTATATTGCATTTCTTGTTCCGTTGTCCTTGACAAAGCCGCACTGTTCTTCGTCCTACTTCTTGTCTAATTCTTTTTCGTTTTCTATTCTTTAGGATTAGCATTATTAGTTTGGTTATGTGGCTCATTAAACAGATTATCCAATGGAGCTTGCAATCATTTGCACTTGATCTCTTACGTAATTTTTACGAAGATAGATTTAGCGAGGTCTTCCGGTGTGTTGCCACTGTTGCATTATTATTGTTGTTTATTAGGTCTGTGAAGTCGTCTAAGGTTGGGAGTATTTCAGTTACGATCCCGTCAGGTACTGATGCTTTGTTCCTGTTCATCTTCTCCGGTGTGGATCTTACTTCATCTTAATATTTCTGGCCTTTCCGTATTTTGCAGCGTAGGCTTCTCTTTCGCATCATGAAAATTTTTTTTGACTTATTTACTCCACATTTCGAGTGTTTTTTTGTTTTTGTTTTTCTTTTTCTATTACCAGCAATCCTTTCTTTGATTTTATAGAGCCTTCTGGTTGGCTTACTTTTCGTCCTGTTAATTCTTTTCATTAATTCGTTAAAAAATCATTAGAGCTCTCGTGTAAGTAGATTTTCTTAATCTTGCTAATACCACAAAACTGATGCCTTCAGTATGGCTCAAATTCTTTGCAAACAATGGCTATTAAGATAAACTCTACTGTACGAACATGCTAGATATATATTTTACTTACTTAAATCCGGGACAAAGGTTTATTAGAAGTTTAAATTGAATTTAACGGTCACCAGGAACTTTGATCTATGAAGAGTTGACCCCCACATGCGTTTTGTACTCAACCGTAGAACGTCAAAAGACCTAGTAGTCCCGTGGGCTGACATAGAATGCGACACGTAAAGCCGCCAAGTACATAATCGGGCCTCCAATGGGTAAGTGTATGAACATAAACAAGGAAAGAAACCCAACTGATCGTAATTATATACACACGCAAGACAGTCGAATAACAAAAAGTTATATGAACACACAACTTACAAAAAAAAAAAAAATCAGCAAAATCCCTCACAAGAAGATCAAACGTTTAAAGAAAGACCCGAAACCACAGACCCTCGATTCGGTCGACTTTAGTTTGATAGAGTTAAGAAGTGATTTTTTGTACGTAGACAATTTAATCTCGTATTTTTATCAAATGCTACTAATAATCCACAAACTAATAAAAATTATTAATGTTTATTATATTTATTGTAAATTTTCAAGAATAAAAAATATGAAAAAAAATTATGACAAATTAATTGAATCTTTTTATTAAATAAATTAAGATATTCATTTTCTCTTTTTCCATATCCACAAGGCGTCATTTTTCAAACACTAGATCAGGGAAGACAATACGTTTTATCTACACTGTGTTAACTTTTTAAACCAAAGTCGACATTGTTTAAATTTCGAATCAGAAAAGAAAAAAAAACATGTTATCTGGTTATTCTAATTTTTATTCATTTATATACTTATTTTTGATTTTGATTTTATTTTTCAATAAATTCAAAAATTCACTTTATATGATGTTCTTTTTTTCCTCTCTGTGACTAAATTATTCAAGGTGTAATCCAAAATTTAGTGTAATCTGACCATTAAAAAAATAATTACCTCAACACCAAGTTTCCACCGTAACCTTCGAAGTACTATTTCGAAGGCGATTCTAAAAATAATACTAGGTGTCAGAGAACGGCACGCGTGTGCTCGCTACTCTTTTTTGGGTGGCAAAATTTTATTGAATTATAAATTTTTTTTTTTTTTTAAGATAAAGCTAAAAATAAAAATTGTAATTCGAACTTAACAATGTAGATTGTAGAAACCCACGTCTTTATTGCGATCAATATGAACGTCACTAAAACAAAAATCAAGGACGGATATATAATTAATCCGAAACGTTTCTACGTCACTCTAACTATCATCTATCAGTTTCATCGCAACTATGGATTCATTACTTTGAAAGATTTGGCAAATAACTATTTGGCTGTTGTTGCTGCCGTCGTCATCGCAGCAGTTGTTACCGGCGACGTAATCGCCTTTCCTTTAGGTGTCTACCTCTCTTCTTGTTTAAGTCCTCTACTGAAATAGATACGACTACTACTACTAATTCTGCAACCGCGCCTCTATAAGATCCGATTATAAACTTAGCTGCTACCGTTTTTGTTTTTGTGTTTGTTTGTTTTTTTCGTGTTTTATTTTCTATTTCTTGCTTTCTTTCACTTTTTCTCTTTTTAGGTGGAAGAGTAGAAAAGCAAGATTTGTGAAAATGATATCATAAGGTGGAGGGTTTTAAAAAAAAGCAAATAAAACAACATGTAGTCACCTCAGATCTTTAAAGAGAGAGTATGAGAGAAATATATATTTGAATATAGAGAGTGAGTTTTGGTGACCTAGTGTTTCATATTTGAGAAGTCACCCAGTGAGATATCTTTTTTACACATGAAGTAAAAACACGTGGTTACTTCTCAAAAAAATAAATAGATTTGGAATAAATAAATGAAATGTTTTCTGAATAAGTTACTAACATCTTTCTTTCGTTTTCTTTCTTTTTTTATAAGTTTAAAATTAAAATCGAATCGGTATCGAAATATAAGAATATTTTTGTTTTAATTTTTCAAACTCTGAAGATCTTTTTGTTGGTGTTGTTGTTGTTTTTAATTGTTTTGTTTGTTTTTTATTTCGTTTTGTTTTGTTAACAGCGAACCTATTGACCTCTTGACGATGCCTAAAGAAGATTCAAGATTAATTTTATAATCATCACCTTCTGAATGAAAATTGATTGGCCGAAGGCGGTGGGTGGGGGATTATTTTTTTTCTCGTTAAATTAATTTTTTTTTACTTATACGCACAACCCCCAACCGCTTTTAGTTCTTTCTCTTTCACTCTCTCTCTCTCTCTCTCTCTCTCTCTCTCTCACACACACAGACTCTCTTTCTCTCTCTTTCTCTTTCTCCATTTCTCGTAACTTTCTTCCCTTGCTCTTTTCCTCTGTTTTAGAGTTTATCTCTCTATTTTTGCATTAATTTAATCATCATCATCATCATCATCATCATCATCATCATCATCATCATCACCGCCGCCACCACCACCACCACCACCATCATCATCATCATCAACATCATCATCATCGCCGTCGTCGTTACAGTCGTCGTCGTCGTCTACTTAATGTTACTGCAGGGATCTAAGGTAAAACGCGTGGTGATAAAATAAGTAAATATTTATTTACATTCGGTTTGCACAAATTCCGATGCTTGTTTATATTTTCTTTACATTAGCTACCGTCACGAACTTCTTAAAGAAAAAAAAAAGAAAAACGCATTTTAAATAATTAAAATATCTTCTTTTAAGTTAAATTTTGGTTCTATTTGAAAGAAAATAAATAGCCTATCCGTGATAAAAGAAAAAATAATTCTGTATGTAATTAATCAAAATTATTAGGCATTTTAAAAATATTAGCACATCCACTCATCGCTCATCGAACTGTCATTATAAACGAAAAATATAAACACAAAAACTTGTAAAATCTCTTAAAAATTCAATATTTGTCCTCAAAATGAGTTTCGAAGTCATTTAGTAAATTTAAGGATTGATTAACTGGACTTTGTAAAACTTATGCTTACATTTTACTTAAAACATAATTTAAATGAAGTTTATTTACACGCGGTAGCCTTCGATGTCATAGGTCAAAACAGGAAGTGTATAATTCCACCCGACTTAAAAACCGCGCGAAAAATTAAAAATAAAATTAAAGAAATACGGAAAACAGTAGTGCAACAATGAAGAAATTGATATCTATATTTAAAAATAAATTACCTTTTTATAATTATATAAAGAACGTTTTAAGAATATAAGTTTTATTCTATACGCTTTTATTAAACTTATTAAAATGAATAAATTGATCTTTTTATATCATATTAGAAAAATAAAAAAGAATATTAAAAATTAGTGGAAATACTTTTGACTTTAATTACTTGCTTTTATTATTATTTTTATTTTCTTCAATTTCTGGCGTTTACACATTTCTTTCCGGGTCCCGCCCAGGGACCTAAGGTTAGAAATGGCATCATGACACTTTCCACTGACAAAAAAAAAATTACATAGATAAAGCCCTTCGTAAAGTGTGGGCTGTACTTGTCAGAACAATATTTTGTATCTCCTTGCGGCATGGACTTCCAGGAATCCCTTCAATTAGTCTACTGCAATCTTTTCCAACCAGTCCTAGGGCTCCAACTACAACAGGGATTGTTGATGTTCCCATATGCCACATTTTCGAGATTTCTATTTCAAGGTCCTTGTATTTTGACAGCTTTTTGAATATCTTCAAAGATACATTGCAGTCAGCAGGGACTGCCATATTAATATTATTATTATAATATTTATTTTCTTTGATTTCTGGCGTTTACACATTTCGGCAACTGTTCCGAAGAATTGCTTTCGCTGGTTCCCTGACTGCATGAATTTAAACGATCTACCAGGCTGGCATCTTGGTCCCACCCTTTCACTGTTGAAACGGTTACATGTAACCGGCTCTTCTACTCCAACAGCTTCTTCTCTCGTACTTCCCGTCTGTGGAATTTTCTTCCCCTTGCTTGCTTCCCCGGTAACTATAATCTACAAATATTCAAGTGTAATATCAATCGACATCTTCTGATACCTTGACCTTGTTCCCCGTACTTCTCTTTATCCTCTTCTCAAACATGCCTCTTGTTCTCTGCCCTCTGTAAGCCTTTGCGTGATAGTGGCACTCCTGCCTTGCTTAGGGTGAAATGCTTTAAAAAAATTAGTTAGGTCCCTGATTTTTGTTTTTTAAACCGTGGCTATTGCGTTTTTTTTGTTTGTTTTTTTTTTCATTTCGGAAAAAAAAACGCATCCATTTTGATGGTATCTACTTTACTTTAATAAAATTCCCTTCAGTAGATGAGCAGTTTCAAACAATGAAAGATTTTTTTTTTATCTTTTATCGACAGATGTTGCAAGGGAGTTTAGTCAATTTGCTTGACTCTACCGTACTTCAACCTACCCAGGTCTCCAATTATTACAGGTATAATAGTATATATATATATATATATCCGAATGTAATAAAAACGAAAATAATATAGATTCTAACGTTCACAGCATTAATTCAAAAGAGAGCTCAATAATTTTTTTATATAGACAGAAACAATTTATTCACGACAAAGATGCACCGAAATGAAATTGCATCTTTGTCGAAAGTAAATTGTTTTTGTCTATATAAAAAAATTATATATATATATAAAATAATAACTTATTATATATATATATATATATATATATATATATATATATATATATATATAAAATAATAGAATAAAGTATGCTGTATACACACACACACACACACGCAAACACATACGCACACACACACATATATATATATATATATATAAACAAAACTGCTCTCTATTAATCACCACAGAGATCCTTCCCTGCCCTCCATTAGAATGTCTGACGCTCAACTTCTCGAGAGCACCTCTCTGCGGCTGCTCGGTCTCACGTTGACTGCTGACCTGAGATAGAACAACTACATTGAGTCAATTGCTTCGTCCACCGCAAGGAAAGTTGGCTCCCTGTGTCGCGCCAGGAAATTTTTCTCCCCGGAATCGGTCCTCCAGATCTACAAATCAACCATTCACCCTTGCATGAAGTATTACTGCCATATATGGTCTGGAGCCCCTTCTGTTTGCCTCGGGGTTCTTGATAAGCTCCAGAGGCGGATATGCAATATAATTGGCCCTGTTCTGGTATCTCGTCTACAGTCGCTCTCTCACAGACGCTTCATCGCCTCTCTCTGTTTTTTTTACAAATACTTTCATGGCAATTGCTCCGAGAAGCTGCATTCGCTAATTCCCAGACTTCATGAATTCAAGCGCCCTACGAGGCTGGCTTCCCGCTCTCACCCTTTCACTGTCGAAACTACAAAATGTAGCCGTCTCTTCTACTCCAATAGCTACATGTCTCGCACCTCACGCCTGTGGAACTCCCTTCCCTACTCCTGTTTCCCTGAGAGCTATAATCGCCAGCTATTCAAATGTAATGTCAATCGACATCTCCAGTTGTCTTGATCTATCCACTGTTCTTCTCCTCCTCCTTTCCTCTATCACTCCTATCTGATCTTGCTCCAAATCTTCTGTAACCCCTTGCGTCCTAGTGGCTTCCCGCCTTGCTGATATATATATATATATATATATATATATATATATATATAACGGAAACCCCGACTGACGCTAATTCAATATATATATATATATATATATATATATATATATATATGTGTGTGTGTGTGTGTGTGTGTGTGTGTGTGTGTGTGTGTGTGTGCGTGCGTGCGTCCGCCAACGGCTTAGTGCTAGAATCTCCGACTGACGCCAGTCTGTCTGTGGATGACAATATATATATATATATATATATATATATATATATATATATATAAGACATTTATACTATTGAGGATCGGTTAAATTATTAGGAAGACCAAGATGTAGCCGAAATTCTTTAAGGGAACTATATTAAAGTAAAAAGTTAATCAAGGTGGGTTGCATCAATTAGCGGAATTTTAAAAGATGGGGTTAATACAGAGAATAGATGGAAATTATAGAAGTTAATTATCTTTATATATTTCATATTAGTAGGGTTTTGTGGGAGTTGGTAAGTAATAAGGTACGGTCTATATTCTTATATAAGTTTGAACTTACTTCTATGTCTACATCTTAACACTAGTTCGTTCCTCTAATTCAATAGTTTGCATTGGTTATTATATTTTATTATTCTAATTTTTCCTCTAAACATAGACTGCACCTATCTCTAAGACTATCAAGAGTATGAGCGAAACCTATAATTTTCTAATCTACATGAGAGTTCAGCCCTTTTCCTTCAATTCCCAAAATTTCTTTGAAAGGGCTGTTTGGTATTTTAATTTAGGATTGGTAAATGAGTGCTTATGGGTATAAAATCTCTGTTTCAATTCTTCCGCGGAAATTAGAATATAAGCATTATATTTTGTCATATTTGCTTTAGGGTCAATGGTTGCCTAGTATATTAACCTAGTAGATCTGTATTTGCTCTCGACTGGGCAGTTTTCTCTATTTCAACAATTACAGGAGTTTTCCATCCTAAGTTTAGTGTTTTTCTCATAGAATTTACTTAAGATATAATTATTATGGGAGCTGATAATTTGGTAGATGTTATTAGTGTAGGAAATGTTTATTTATTAATTTTAAAAACTGCTGTCCGCTATTAATATTTGACAGTTTGCAGAAGAGGGTAGGGTTGAACCAAATGATTTTTCTTTTTCTATTTCTATTCCTATATCCCACTTTAAGTGTTTCAGTATTACTTATAGGTAAGATATAAGATAACTTATTTTTGAAACCACTTTTGTGGAGATAAGATAACTTATTTTTGAAACCACTTTTGTGGAGAGCATTTTCATACAGTTCTTTATTTTTATTAAAGATTTTTTTTTTTTCGTTGGACGATAATTTACTTATTCTGGTACAAACGGTAGTGGATATTTGTTTCAGAATGTTATTGTGGGGGTGGGGGTTTTGAACTAACATTAATTGGGAGTTTCATTTTCTTTATGGTAAGGTTTAAAGGTTTTATAATTAAGGTTGCGGGTGATGTCTAGGTAACCAACTATTTTAAGGTTAGAAGAAATCTCAATCTTAAACCCTAGTAATTTAAAGGCCCTAATGATTTTCTTTCGTAACTTCACTGTTAACGAACCATTACTATTGGGGATGAAGATGAGTCTGTCATCTCTATATATGCCCACTAGTTCTGGATCTACGATTCTACTAAGTATATCTAAAATATAAAAACAAACTAAATCAGCAACTTGGGCTGAATCAAATGGTCCCATGGGGACATCAAAATCGTTATCATGGCACTTAGTCCAGGTGGAATTATTAAGTGTTAGCAGTGATTTTCTAGCCGTTAAAATG